CAATGAAAAGGAAGACACAATTTGGCACATAGCTAGGGAAAAAAATTGGGGGTTGAAATTTCACTTAGGAAACTCTCGTATCAAAAATCCATATATGCATGAATGGTGAGTTATATACGACTGACTTTGTGCAATTGATCATCTTAAATTTGTTGTATGCGTGCAAATTTTGATCATGATCATATGTTTTAGTTTTAAGAACTTCACAACAACAGTTGTAAGCTTTCAAATTAACCATGTTTCATCAGATGATTATCCCTTGACTACATAAATTAGCTATATATAATCTTCTCACGATCGGTATCCAATTTCACAGTGGTCCCGTTTCCGATCAAAGCCATCAACCGCATGCAATTGACTTAACTTGTGCTAAAAAAAAAAGAAAAAGAAATGAATCTATTGTTCACTCGTATGTGATTTGACTAATAAAAGATTAAATGTTTGCTTGAGATTGCTTTTAAAATGATTAGAAGAGGTTATTTTAATAACCCAAAATATTTTTACTACGTCTGTCAAAAATTATATAAGCACTTATGAGTGGTAAAAATATATTTTCAAGAAGTATTTTAATTTTTCATCAAAGTCTCTACATGTTTATAATAAACGCACTGCATGCAATATGCTATATCATTTCTCAAATGAACCCAATTTCATTGCTTCATACACGCACACTTGTGGTTTGACTTTCTATCCTCCTCTTTTGTTTGCAGAGATAAAAGTTTAAGGTACTGAATTTGAAGCGGAGATGGTTAATTAAGTCATAAAATTACAAACACGTACAAAGAAAAATTAATTGAATAAATAACTGAGTTCTTGAGAAGCTGCCATGAATACAAAATTTACACAATTACAAACTTTTGAGTAACAAATAGAACTAATCAAACACTGGTCACACTGCAGATGAAACTAAATATGAAGAAGTTGCTTGGGCTTCAACTATCAAGATTCAATAGGCAGCTAGTTGGCGAGAAGCTGCCAACCTCTTGTAAATCTCCAAAACCAATCTGCTGTCAACTAACTCGTCACCACAAGAAGCCACTGAAATCTGGTCTTGGGGCTTTGCAATCTTCTTCGCCGCAATCCTTCCCACGCCGCCGGCCTTGCCCGCCATCCGAATCATCATATCAACGTAACCGTTATTAAACTTAGCCAAAAGCTTTATGGGGGAAACAAGCTTCAGCAGCCTCAGCTTAGTTTTGAGCTTCCAACTGCGTCTAGGACTCCCTTTAGCTCCGCCGCCACCGAGCCTCGCCACCCTCATCTTCTTCTTGGTGTCACCATTCAGCCTCTGGTACCTTTTCCTCCTCCAGTACCTCTTCAAGTTGTCATAGTAAGTGGTCGAAACAATCTCCATTTTAATTGATTTCTAGTAGTACTAATGCGTCTGCACGCAGTTTCTTAAGTTGTGTGTGTATAAATGGCTTGAGAGATGTGTGTCAAGAGAGGAAGTCAGATGGGGATTATATAGAGGAGGAGAAGAATTTGGGTGCCAAGTCAAGGCGGCAGGCTAGGTCTTATGGTTGAGTGCGGGAAATATCAAACAACTATGTGAATGTATTCAGTTTTGTATAATGAACTTGATCAATATGTCTGACTGGGCAAGGGCTAATCATTTTTTGTTTGAATAATGAATCAACATAATATTATATATTCGAATTTGATTACTAATCCAGTCCCTGGTACATATGATTGCTGTCATCCATTACAAAAACAAACAATACAAAAGGGTATAAAATCAACATCAACAAATTCACACCACATTCCGATGGAAACGACATCAATATTATATAAAACAATAATATTCTCTTCTCAAATAATTTTATTTAAGCAAAAAACAAGATTTGGCACATAGAAAAAGACTTGGCCGCTGAAGGGCCAAATATATTCCAGTTAGAAGCTCATGATCAACCCGTAAAATGAGAGATTTTTTAGTGTGATTGGAACATGGAGTGATACACTACGTGTTACTATACAAATGATGGGTATGTGTATTAAAATGTTAATAACTTCAAAATTAAAATTTATCATAACTTACATAAAAACAAATGATGTATCCCCGGTGTTCCATTTACAATCAAAAATTTCTTAAGCGGAGTGCGGCTCGACTTTCTTGTTATCCTTATTAATTATTAAATAATTCCCATATCCTTGTGCTCCTGTTGAATGATTCGTGAAGTATATATAACTGATTTGTGCAATTTATTGTCCTAAAGTTAAACAGTAAGAACTTCAAACTAACAATTCTAAGGCTTTCATATTGGGTAATGCTAGGTAGTATTTAGACTAAATTTGTAAATCATGTGATATGTCATCAATAAGAAATAAACATGTTAATCCACACTTAAGTAATAATTCAATTATCAACAACCACGTCATATGATTTATAAAATTTGGTCTAAATAATTGATCTCCCTAGCATTACCTTTTCAAATTAATTAACCATTATCAGTATAGGTTATTTACAATAAAACTATAACATTTTAGCCCTTGATTACATAAATAGCTATTTTACCCTAGCTTTCCTAAAAACTCTCACGTGACTATTTAGAAAGACTAGGACAGCAATATTTTCTACTAAATAGTAAAACTGAGTTCTAAAATTTATGGAAAATGTGGTTTGACTCACAAGGCACACATAGTTTGAAAAGTTAAGGTTCGTTTGAAAATGTTTTTAAAATGACTAAAAAAGCTTTTAGAGTAAATGTTTCTGGGTTACATAAGTGCTTCCTGCATGCAAGAAGCAGATAACTGGTGTTTAAAAGCACTTCAAATATTCACTTATATTTTTACAAAAGATTGGTTCTAAAAACATCTCCACAAAAAGCACTTTCATCTATTTAAAAAACAGTTTCAATCAAGCTCTAAATTTCATTGCTTATGCCGCTTCAGGAGTACAACGTTTTTTCAAAGATGGCTTGCAGACTTTGTATACACACTCATTTTTAGCTTCATGCACTTCTCTTTCGTGCTGAAAAAATATTCGGTTACCAAGTCTAGGTGGATGAAATATGTATGAGTGTTAAAATTAACCGACATACGTACCAAAAATTCAACCAATTTATATTGAGTTTCTTTAAAGGCTCCCAGAGTACCAAAACTTTACAATTTCTGTAGACGTCCAAACTTTTGTTTAACAATTAACAAACAGAATTATCAAAATGGTAACACTAATTAAAAACGAAACTACATATCCATCAAGTTGAAGAAGTTGCTTTGGCTTTCAACTATCAATCCATGATCAGCCAATTGGCGAGAAGCTGCCAATCTCTTGTAAATCTCCAAAACCAATCTGCTGTCAACTAACTGATCACCACAGGCAGCCACTGAAACCTGATCCTGGGGTTTTGCAATCTTCTTTGCGGAAATCCTCCCAACGCCGCCGGCCTTTCCCGCCATCCGAATCATCAGGTCCACGTAACCGTTATGCAACTTTGTCAAAAGCTTTATTGGTGAAACAAATTTCATCAGCCTCAGCTTGGTCTTGAGCTTCCAACTCCGTTTAGGACTAGTGCTCCCTTTAGCTCCTCCGCCGAGCCTTGTGACCCTCATCTTCTTTCTAGGCTCACCATTCAGCTTTTGGTACCTTCTCCTCCTCCAGTACCTCTTCAAGTTGTCGTAGTACGTAGTCGGAACAATCTCCATTTCAATAAAAAAAGTAGGAATAAATAGCTCGCACTCGCAGTAGTGTTTGCCTCAAATCGCGGCCGTAGCCACTGAAACAGACAAACAAGTTGAGAACTGATGGTTTTTGAGGTTTTGAGGTTTCGGAGAGTTGTGTGAAGAGAGGAAGTGAAGAGGGGGGTTTATATATAGAGATTAGAGAGGCGAGGAGGGGAAGAATTGGGTTTCAAGTCAAAATATGAGGGCTTGGTCTTACTACGGTTTCTCCAGGAAATGAGGGCTTTGTAGGGCACAGTGTACTTGGTCAATATTGTCCGTCTACGTGTGTGTGGCCACTGGCCACTGACCAGGCAGATGCTAATCTTATGCAGTTGAATAATTAATTAGGTTTGATTAAGTTAAATATGCTTTTAATATGTTGGGTCAAAATATGCTTTTAATTGATAAATTGGTTACTAAATCCAATGCGTGGCATTTGTATATATTATTTGGTTAATTCGTCGAATATTCTATGATTGAATTGGATTAACAAGTCCAATCGGTAGTAATCCCAGGTTTAATCTCTAATTAATGCTCTAACTCTGACTTAAACAGGACTCTTCCGTACATACCAACAAATGGTGCTTGCTTTGAAGTGTGATCAATATTAAATGGTTCGATAGAAAATTAGATATTTAAATGGTTTGTTTTTAATTTTTAATTTTTTCAATGCCCATTTTCCCTTTTCAATTTCCGAAGAAAATATGGGTATTGACTATAATACATCTGAGTACAAAATATTCTTGCATTTGGAGCCTTTGATGTAATTCTAAGGGTTGGATCTAACGGCTCTAAATGACGAATGCAATACATCAGTGTATTATAGAAAAACTAAAATAAAGACACAATTAAATGTAAATGGAAGCTTGATTTTCCATTTTCTGGCAAAGTGCATTTAAATTTCTAATTGTTGATTTCGTTTGATTATTCAATTTAGTGGTTAAAAATAATAAAAATGTGCGTGAAAAACTAAAATGGTGTCAAAATCACTTCTCCAAATTAAGATGTTTCCGCATCTTATTAGAAGATTACTTCACTCAACCAGTATTGGGCCCACTGAAGAAGAAAATGGTGGTTGGCCCATTGATTAAAAAAATCAGCGATGCGCCCCACATTGTGCTTCTGGACGCGAACACATGCTTATAATATAGTTTATGATGTGAAATGTGAACGCGAATATTGGCATCTGGTTGGCAGGGAGTGTTGATCAAGAAAATCCTGTGCTTGACTTTGGCTGCTTCTCGAATCTCATATATTTCAAACAAAGCATATAGCATGTCACGTCACTATTCTCTTTTATTTGTTTCTCAAACTAATCTGTCCCTCACACTCCAACTCGATGGCGGAGAAAAACTTGAGTAAAGGTATATGATCACGTTATACATAGAATATCTTTCACCTTAACATCCAACAATAAACAATATAGTACAAACAACGCAAAACTCATAAAACGCAAAATTCATCTAGATTATAAACAACTATATCCGTCTACCAAATTCACACTGATGGGTCCTAGAATATGAACATTTGCTCATTAACACTATCCTACTCTACAAACAGCCTATACTCGGGTGCCTTCTCCCATTTTCGTGTCCGTGTAGCATGTAGTTCGTGTCTCCGCTATTGCCTCGCGATAATTCAGCACCATTCCGAGGTTGGACGTATATACTCGTAAGCTCTGCTGGCTGCACACTAAGACTATTGGCATTGTTAGACGAGGATTCATCACGATTTTGAGATTCTGCCAGCATCTGAAAGTATGCATGAGGTCCCCAACCTGCCCATCCAACCAAATAAACAGAAAGAATCTCGTGAACAATGAGTCCGCGGGGCTACTAATATACACACGAGTTCAAATAACGAACTCTAGAAATCACAGTTTTTCACTGCAAGATAAAATGTTCATGGGACTCGACAGAATTAGAAAGCCTTTGCAAGGAAGACAGAGTTATATATACAGAAGATAAGGAAGATAAAATTACCATCTGCGTCGTATGGAGGTGGAAAGAATTGCAGGTAACAAAATGAAGCAATGGTGATTCCTGCACAAAGAACATATAAGTAAAAGGGAAAACCAGACAAACTCATTGTTTTCCCACAAAATCATGCCGGTGATGCCAGAGGCAGACAAGGTACCTATAAGGCTGCCAGCACAAACATCTTGCCAATGATGCCAATAGTCATCAACTCGAGAAACTCCCACCAGCGCTGCAATAAGTAGTGGTAGAAAGACAATACAAAGCTTATCAACATGTCCTCTACGATCAAACGCCCTTACTTTCCCGATAAGTACCATGCAAGGAAACCAAGACCTGCAAAGGACCCTGCATGTTGACAATGGCACTGTCGTTTGAGCTACACAGTACAATGTCAAACATATATATGCACTAAAGAAAATAGATGGGTAACACGAAGACAGAATATGCAGATAACCTATAGGAAACAGATAGGCAGCATGCAGCCCTAAACTTTAATCCTCTTTCATGTACAGTTTCTCGAAGTATCAAAATGCTTACATGAAGTATGCCCGCTTGGGAAGCTTTTATGTCCTTCCTTAATGACACTCTTGCTTCCAGTACACATGACATCCTTTGTGGTAGGATCAAATACCTGGACGTGGACAGTGGATCAATCGTGTATCATATGCGTGTATAAGTGAGGAGGATCAAAACTAAACAACGAAAAGAAGGCCCACCCCTTTTCCATCAGGGAAACAACGCCAAAAGAAGTCTGGACGTGGTCGACCAACACCATCTTTGATTGCATCAGTTAAAATGGCGGTTATGAAGACAGAGAATAGAAGGCCTGAATGAGCATACATAGACAATGTAAGCTTCAACAAAATACAACAACACGCAAACAACATCACCGAATGCAGAAATCACAAAAACGAAAAAGAAAGAGATGATAGTTACCCAAAATGGCCTGGTGCAGATCATAGACATCCTTTCGGATGAAGTAAGTACACAAGAATGACAGCAAGCGGCAACAGTACCGCAATTATCTGTTACCATAAGTACAACATAAGATTCTTCTTCTCCTTACAGTGTCATCACAAAAGCGAGACCAATGCAAAATTCAAACTTATCCAAATTTTCCCAGCATGACATTGTTTTCACAAAAACAAAACCTACCGGGACACCCCAGAAGGGAACTGTATTGTCTTTCAAAGGGTACTTGAGGTCTGTCATCATGTCCTCCCCAACAAAGCGGTGAAACGGCTCTATCAGGTTCAAACCGAGATCAATTCCAGCGAGAACCAACAGAATCAGCCAATCATGCATATGAACCCTTGCCACCTGAACTCCATGGGACCTTACAGTGTGGGAACCCAACTGAATTTCTGGCATTTTTCACTAGCTGGAAAATGAAAAACAAAAAGAAAAACACTGTAATTATCCTGTAATCATATCTTAATCTCACTGGCATTCCAAATTAAGAAATGAATTTAAACAATAAAATTAAATTCAACATTTCGGCTTGATTGACATCGAGTTTTTCCAAATTTTCTTTCTTCGGGAAAACAAAAGCGACTACGTGAAGTTCTAGTTTCTTTTACTTTCCTAAATTTTCTAGTGCAACCAAACACAAAACATAAGTACAAAAAAAAAGCCAGAAAATTTGAAGAAACAAACCATAGTAAGCTGGATACAGAGAGTAAAAATTAAAAACGAAATGAACGATTTGAAACAAGAACATTACAATGTGCATAAAAAATTACAAAAACTTACAGAGAGAGCAAGAGAGTGAGAAGTACATGCAAATTCCGTACGACAGGAGCAGTCTCCGAGCAAGTAATAGTGAGAGTGGGCGGGGTTCCGGCTTCGATCTCAAGGCGGTGGAGGGAGCAGCAGGGTGAGTGGTTTTTGGGGAAGAAGAGCGGAAACCAGAAAACTGAAAAAGGAAAAGCGTGGAGTGAAAGAAAGTACAACGGAGTTTTCAAAAGACATTTTGAATTTTGGATTTTGGATATTAACCAAAAGCAGTGAGAAATCGCGGCTTGTTGCCGAGGGCTGATTGCGGACATCCAAGCATAATTTGATCAAAACTAATCACGTTTAATAGTATTAATTACTTAGGTTTATCCGAAATGAAATGATTAACAACATGCTTAGGCGTCATTTTAGCTTCACAACGTGCAAATGAATATATCCAGGCTTGAACTTGTGATTTTTTTCATCTTTTTTATACACTCCTCTCAATTTCAACCGTAACATTAAATGAATTGAATAAAATCAAATGATATAAATTAACAAAGGTAAAGAAAATAGAAGCAATTCTTAAAATATCAACTAACAAATTTCTATTAATTAAAAATTTGATAAAGTAAATTTTTTCTTAAAATCTTGCTTGAATCTTGTAACTCGAGCAATTAAAAGCATCAATCTTTGACTCAATATTCTCTTAAATAAAATAAAATAAAATAAATAACTTGCAACTCAAGTAATTAAAAATATTTACTACTGGAGGCTCGAGATCATGTATTCAAATCTCACATCTATTGGAGTTTAGTTGCAGGCAAATGGGATTCGATTCAAAATTCCAAAAGGGAATGTCTTTATAAAGAGAAGCTCTTTTGGTGCTTAACATTCATGTACCAACCACAAAACTGGTGATTCTCTCTCCGTGTTCTTTACTTGTTCTACGGGCATGCTTTTTCTACTTTTATATCTTTTCAAAAAAATTCACCGTTAAAGGAAAGAGAGTAGGTGGCACCACACCATTTGTGGAGGAGTTTAAGATAATCAAGATTAACTTAATTATATTAGAAGATAAGCTAGTTTAGCAAGATTAATTATTCCAATAATTTAATTTAATCCAATCAGGACGTGCCAACTAGCATGGAGTCAAAGCTATTAAGGATTAGGTTTTTTTAGTCAAAATGATCCCTGAGATTGCATAACTTCTCACTTTGGTCCCTGAAATTTGAATATCAATAGAAGTAGTCATTGAGTTTGTTCATCATCAATCATTTTGGTCATTCTATGAAAAAATCCATTAAATAAGGCTAAAATGATGAAAATACCCTCAATTTTTACCAAATCACTTGGCCCATTGTTTATTAAATTGAGGGTATTTTTGTCATTTTGGTACTTGTATAATTTTTAATGGAATGACCAAAATGATTGATGGTAGACAAACTAAGGGATAACTTCTATTAATTTCAAATCTCAGGGGCCAAAGTGATGAGTTATGCAAATCTCAATGACCATTTTGGCTAAAAAGCCTGAGGATTATTTGGTGAAGTACGATCATAGAGTTTACGGAAAAATACACACATTCATCTTGAGGCATACATAAAATCTACCTCAAATAGTCAGGTACTCGGTACCGTAGAGTCTATGGATTACTTCCCAGATACCGTATTATTCTCTATGTTTCGTATTTTTACTTACGTGACGGTATCTAAATCTTTACTTTAGTCTCTAGTCACACCTTGATCAGGAAAAAATGAAAAGTTAGATCAAAGGAAGCAATGTTAGGCCAACTGCAGATTTAGACTTAGATCAATGGAAGCAATGTTAGGCCAACTGCAGATTTAGACTTCTTCATATATTCATCATTAGCAAACTAAACTCTGTATATGGTACTAAAAACTAATAACCTGTCTACGCAATGTGTCTTAAACCGATATCTACATAAGCATAAGCAGTACGCGGAGTACCTAAACAAAGCCCGCCATGTACAATACTACTTTTCGCCCGATTCCATTTCATGCGAACTAATGCTTGTGTATCGGTTGTGAGAGAATGCTGCAAGTGCATCGTCAATTTGTATGTGTTGTTCGTTCACATTCTGAGCCCCGATCACCTGCACACTCAGTGCATTGTTCGTAGGATTGACACCCGGATTTGAATGGCTACGTGTTTCCTCCAATGCAGAGAAATACGCATAAGGACCCCATCCTGAATTCATCAAGAAATAGTTAGCAAACTGAAAAGCAAAAACAACAAACATAAAGAACAAACGTAGTCTAGCCACCGGTATTTTGTGCAAGTATACAGGAAAAATAAGGAACAGATGAAGAAGATGTGACCTTGATCGTGATAAGGGGAAGGGAAGAATTGCCGGTAACAAAACGAAGCCACAACAAGTCCTGCAAAATATGAACCGCGTATAAAGCTCTCACATTCTTACATTAGAGCGTTAACTAAAGAAAAGAGATCGGGAATGAACATGACCTAAGAGGCCTCCAGCAAACACATCTTGCCAATGGTGCCAATAGTCATCTACTCTTGAAATGGCAACGAGAGATGCAGCAAGTAGAGGAAGCAAGACAATACATAGTTTTGCCACGTGCCCTTTGCGATCAAATGCTTTAATCTTCCCGCACAAGTACAACGAGAGAAATCCTAAACCTGCAAAGGACCCTGTAGAACAATGCCAAGCTGTATCAGTTGTATGGACAATTGGACATACATGCTGAAATTCGAGAAGTAAACGGGTCTAGTGGACTTAAACTGCGTATAACAGCAGGAAGCATTTCTTACATGAAGCGTGACCACTTGGAAAACTCTTATGTCCTTCCTTTATGTCACTGTCCTTACCATGGCACATTACACCCCCAAACCGATCATAAACCTACACAAAGCAAAAAGATATATAAGTATCAGATTTTACACGATACAGAGCAAATTTCCATATCACATTACAACAAACTTTCCATCAGGATGTTAATGGAAGCATACATCTTGTCCATCAGGAAAGCAACGCCAAAAGAAGTCTGGTCGAGGCCGGCCAACCGCATTTTTAATCGCATCCGTGATAACACCAGTAATCAACACGGCGAACAAGAGGCCTGCTCTTGCAGATAGATATATAACCAAATTAATCCACAGAACAATAAACAAATAAAAGGTTCCGTTTGATAAAACTAATCAAACAGCAAAAGAAATATATTACCTAGAATGCTATGGTGCAGATCATAGACATCTTTCCGACGCATATAGAAAAAGAGGAAAATTGCAATAGGTAACAAAACCGAGTACATCTAAAGACATCGACAAAAGAATCAATCCCGTTAACTTTAGTACTGATATCAAATCCATACAATCCAACCAAATGAACATTGATAAAAAGAATTGGGCTAAAAGAAGTAGCGAAAAACGTACAGGGACAGCCCACAGAGGCACCGTGCTCTCTTTCATGGGATATCTAAGGTCTTCCATCATATCCTTCCCCACGAAACGGTAGAACGGATGAATGATGAACAAAATGAGATCTATCACTCCAAGGAGCACCAGTATAAGCCAATCGTGCATGTGCTTCTTTGCAAGTGCAGCTCCATGGGATTTAATCGTGTACCTTCCCAGTTCGACTTCCGAAGTTCTTCCCTGCTGGAACAAATACACTAAATCACTTCTCTTCCCAATAGAAATACATTGGCCAAGATAATATTTGATTTCATTTGAAATTTTAGTAAAAGATGTCTCCAAATCTATATCAACAAATAGACAAAAAGAACCCAAAAGTTTACCGCTTTATGTGTCACAGTTTGAAGGTACTACAAATTAATCATCCAAAACACAAAAAACTTGATACCAATTTAACCTGAGACATTGAACTTCAATCATTCTTAAACAATAAATCATACTTTAACAAAGTAAAAATCTGCTAAAAGAGGCATGTGACTGATGACAGCGTAAATTAGAATGAGAAATGTTAAGGGTTCTCTCTCAAAAGTGGAACTCTTCATAGATTCTCCGCTGCCCTACATTTTAACATCAATTCCCATCCCAATATTATACAACGTTGTGCCAAAAACATGAGATAGCAGAGAGTCCAACTTTTCACAGAGTACAGTCACTATTCCAATTTCCAATACGATAAACAGTACATTCAAAAGCAAGATTAATTTACCACCTGAAAGATACCCCGGAAATTAAAAAGCGATCCCAGATTCCTCCACGCCATAACCTACAGAACCCAGAAATCCACAGGTAAAGTTGTCAAAGTGAACAAACACAACAGAAAGAGGAGGATAAAAAACTCACAAACAGCAAAGAAACAAAGAAAAAGAAGAAGAGTAGTGAACTGAATTGAATTCAAAGCAAGGACGCGTCAGCAACTTGGTCTGCCTCTAATACCTTAATAAAAGAAGACTTCAAATATTTTTCCAGAAAAACGCGAGCACTTTCCATTAAAATTTGAGTGCGGAAAATTTCTTCTTCTGGCTGCGGACGGTTAAGATTTCTTGGAACATCAACGTTAACAACAATGTAGGATATAGTAGAAGAAGGGTTGCTGTGAACTCTGGAAAAAGAAAGTTGTGTGAATATTAACGAGGCTGGAGGATGAGATAACGACCGTTTTAAATTTTTTGGCAGTTTTCTGTTTGGAGGGGTCAAGACTTTGAAGCGATCTCGCAGAAGCCGTCCGATGTCTTGACCTTTACCGTCGTAGAAGGATCAACTGTTTGCTGACGTATGCGGCCGTGCGGCACGTTGGAGCATTATTGCTTTGAATGCTACGAGCCTACGGCGTCGTTTTATCGCGGATGACAGCTCTGCTTGTAACATGGGGCTTTGAAGGATGGATAAATGCCGGAATGGGTGATTGGTACCGACGGTTACCTTCGGTTGGCGGGGCTTTTGGTCCATTCACCTCACAACTATACATTAAGCGACTTGTCGTTTTATTATTTTCTAAACCCGTTTCTTCTGATTTTTCTTCCTTTTTTTTTTTTTTTTTTTGTTTGCTTTTGTTCTTGTTGAGTGTGTGGTTCGCACTTTACGTGGAGTAATGAGTTTCTTAACTTCAACAATCGACTGACACTTTTTGAATAGGTAACGATGTTTGAACTCATACATTATTAGATCGAGATATTAGTACAGAATTTTTCCAATAAATCTCACATAGTTTAAAAGTATGGAACTTTAACGAAAAGTTCTTGGTACTGTTCAATTTAACTAAAAATTATATTTTTACACTAAAAAGTCAATCCTGGTACTATTTACTTTACCTTTTAGTTTGTCATTTTCGTTAAAACTCAATTTTCAAGCTCTTTTCATAAGTTTACCTTTAAAAGTATTGGGTGTTTTTATTGTTGTTTTGGCTACATTAGAAATATTATGGTAGCTATGTTTTTAACCGTATGTTATTAGATCGAGATTTAATATAACATTTTTTCTGTAAATCCTGAATGGTAAACAACCAAATAGCCCATAAATAGTGGATGGGATGTGATTCATGAGTTGGGGTTAGATTACCAAAAATGAGGAAGTTGGCCACCTTGCAACCATGATAATTAAGAAACATTAACCAATGATTAAGGTAAAGAAGCTGAAAGATGATTAGCACTACTCACCACCCTTGACAATGACCGCCACCAGCTCCTCGTGGAATATTATCCTTTAATAAGAATCTAACTTTGAATTAATTACGTATACTTTGAGCTATTCTCACCATAATTTTATACCACATTTATTTACCATTTTAGGGTGGCACGTGAGTTGGACAAGCCACATCATTTAATTTTGATTTGAATTTTTCTTGTTAATTAAAACACTTAAATAAGGAAAGTTGCGAACTTAAAGTCTCTCTCTTGGGTTAATAACTTAATTGGGTATGAACCCTAATCTGATACACATTTGATTTTAACTCCTAATTCTCATAAAAGCTAATAGGCATTATTTAATGAAATAATCAAATGAAATCCTTCTTTTAAACCACACAAAAAATTTTGAAAAAAGAAAAAAATCACGAGATGAAAAGCCAAGGAGTACTAGTGAAGATTGGAGACGAAAATACTTGAAGGGAAAAGAGGATTGGGGCTACGAGGCATGAGTCTGGAAATAGAAATCAATGGCGATTGTGGTATATGAGCGAGTTCTATAAAGCTTGATCATAATCATGGAAATAAACAGAAATCAATTAAAATTTGATGTGAAAGAGAAATGGAAAGGAAGAAGCTGATTGAAAGGGGAAGGAAGAAGGAAACTGCTCTATACTACAATCATTATTTAATTAACCAGCTTTTTATTAGTTATTGATTTATTGAATAGTTTTTAATTGAAATTAAATGCTAATTAATTTAAATGATGTGATTATCCACATCAAATGTCACTTAATTAATTTAACCCATGATTAAGGTAAAGAAACTAAAAGATGATTAGCACCACTCTCCACTCACCACCATTGACAACGACGGCCACAAGCTCTTCGAGGAATATTATCCTTTAATATGAATCTAACTTTGAATTAATTAGGAAGAATTTTTGTTTAGGGAGGAAATTAAGGATGAATTGGTTGCACCGAGTGGTCCCACTTCCACGTGAACACCTGCCCATCAAATTTGAGAATAGTTTATGTGGCCCGCTCTCCACTACCTAATGATGGGATTGCCGGCAAATTTTGGTTCACAAATTAGGCACCTGCTACTTGCCTCTCCATTAGGGTTTATGGTATAGGGTTTAAGCCGGAGTCTAATCAAATTGTTTGGGCCGAATAGGGCTTTGCGATGCTTTGTATGGGCTATAAGGTTGCGGATTAGATAGAATATGGGCCTTTTACCAACTGCATACTCCAGCCCAATTATTTTTACAGGCAAAAAAAGGGCCATGATGCAATTATGCTCTTTTTATTAAATGTAAGCAATATTCTAATTTAATATGAAGTACTAAGAAATGTGGATTACTGCCGGTCAGTTTTGGTGGAAAGAAGAAGGATTCCAATTTGGGACGTTACAGTGACGTTCTAGACTAATAATACAAAGGTAATACTTGCATACATCTCACGGGTTGGACAATGCTTGCGAAAGTCTTTTTTTTTCAAATTGCATAATTTAAACATCATGATAATTTTGTCCCCATTAGAGTTAAATTTGTCCCGTACAAGAAGAAAAACACCCTAATACAAAATAGAAACGAGAGATAAGACTTATTAGTAGAATTGGCGTGAGTCATGACGCCAATTCTATGACGTCAATAAGCTTATACAGTGTATAGAAAACCTGTGCGGAAAGGAAAACGAGATTTATAGTGAGTTTTTTTTTTTTTTTTTTTTTTTTGGTAAAAGTTTGACTGTAGTAAAGCTACAGACAAACTCCCTCAACTTTTATTAAAACAAGCCCAAAATTACAAGCAAACCAAAGGCCCTACTTACAACTATACACAACCAGAAAAGGGCCAAAACCAAAAGAAAAATAGAAAGAGGGCCCAACAACAGTGCAGCCCAAAAAACACATAACTGCCGAGAAACTTCTCCTGAAATCCCCTCCACCAACAAAGATCCAGACTAGCCAACTGAAGCGTCATCCACCATCGAGTATTGTCGATGTAGACACCACCATCAACCTCGAACAACAACCATATCACAACCATTAACAAGAGATAGTTGGCACCAAAAAGGGATTAGCCAACTACCTAGAAGGAGTTCGGGAAAACCCACGAGCAACATTGTCGAAACAACATATAGCAAGGAGAACGTGGTGGTGTTGGAAACACCCAAGCCAAGAAAAAAATCCCAACTCTACACACAAACTCGAGAGGAAAAGTGACTGAAGATCGAACAAAGGGAGAGATGGGGAGGGATATCGACAAGAATAGCAGAACAGGACAAGCTGGAGAGAAAATTGGGGAGAAACATCAGGATAAGCGAAAAGAAAATAAGAAGAAGAAAAGAGGAAATAAGACACAACAGAGAAGGGGAAAAGAGGAGAAAATAAAAGAAAGAGAAAATGGGCAACCAACTCCAGCCAAAGCTAGAGTCGGCGCCAAAAAAGATGGACAAGATGGAAACCCTCACAAAAAGGGGGGAATGACTCTCACAGACAGTGGCGAAGCTATGTGAGGGTGAGGAGTGGTGGCCTCCCCTCCCCTCGTCGGAAAACACGCCTAGGAGAGCTGGTTCAGCCCCTCTGCTCTTGTTGGAAATGAGAATTCCCGCTTCGGTGGGACGGATCTATTAAGGGACCTGGGTGGTCCCGGGACCAACCAAAAGTTTAGATCAATGGTTATGAAACCTCCTTGGACCACCCAAGTCTAGGTATGTGATGGAGGGAAAAAGCAGTGACGGCTGCTCTGCTATGGCTATCTGCAGACCATAAGAAGAAGGAGACTAACCATTTAAGCAAAACGGTGTGCTTTTGGTATAGGTTTGAAAACACTCTCCCAAGCTACATGGGAGGCTGAAAGCCTCAACATTTGTTGTTAAAAAATTTCAAAAAAGCCACGTGTTGTGCTTTATATGGTCCACTTCCTAATTAACTATTCAATTTATCAAATTCTAATTTGTTTGTTTTCTACACCACCTAATAATCCCCTCATTTCCAAAATTTGAGTAAGTGTTACGGTGGAAAGTATTTCCCGCCATAAATATCATTAAGAGTTCATTCTGCAATAAAATAGAGATTCAATGGTTAAATGATAATTTTGTTGTTCACATTGAGAAATATGTATTTTCTTGTATTGACAATAAAATTATCATGACACGTTTCAAAGTATAATCTCGTCGTGGAGAAATTTAGTCCTTGTAGCTTGTAATGTTGTTTGTACAAAGATTATGAATGAAAAACTGTAATTCATTGTTTAATTATTCAATGTTGCTTTCGTTTAATTTTTCTAGTGCTTTATATTGGGACCATCTAATGTTAAAATCTTGAATTCGCCACTTGTTGCAGAGCGGCGAACTTGGGAAGAAGAAGAAGGATTATGAGTTTGATATTCCCTATACAAAACGGCGTCGTTTGGCAAAAAAAAAAAAAGCGATTTCATTATGCTGACCATTTGTTTACTTTTTTTCTCTCTTACAACGCTGTACTGACCCACACCCACCACTTATCTTCTAGTCTTTACCTTTCTGCCCCACTTGTTTGTTTACCCATTTCCCCCCTTTTTTTTCTCTTTTGACCCCACTTTACCCATTTCTTTCCTTTTTTATTTATTTATTCTTGTATGTATTTTTGTTTTCTCTTTAAACACCCCCACCATATTTATCTTAAACTCTTACATTATCTATAAATATTGTATTACATTTTAAAAATAATGTAAATATTGTTTAATGCTTATTTTACAATAATTTAAATTCATTTAGGCTCCTGCCTAAATCTCGCCTAGGTGCGTAGTTGATTGGCCCCACTTCGTTGCCTGACTATAGCTTAACATTTTTTCGAATCCAGTTTAAGCTTTTTATATTGGCTTTGATATAACTGCTTATAATCGCTTTGGTGAAGATATTATTTTCTGCTATGAATATTGACTCAAAACTTTACATTTTCCAATGTAAAAATAACCGCTTCGATTGAACCTTGCACTCTTTTACATTTTACCCCTCCCCTCACACTGCTCACCGAGAAGG